GGCCCCACCCCGCCCTCCACCGGCCCCACCCCGCCGTCCGCGGGCGCCTCGCCGTACAACTTCCCCGCGGCGGCGCTGGCTGCCTTCGCCGCCGGGTACCCGCCCGGCCTGCTGCCCAAGTTTGGACCGCACCACCCGCTCGCCTCGCCGCTGGGCCTCCACCCGGCGCACCCGTACCCCTCGGCCGAGGACGTGCTCGCGGCCGCTATCGCCGGCCACCACCCTCACCCCGCCATGGTGCCCCGGCCGTTCAGGCCCATGCCGCCCGAGGACGACGGCGTCGTGGACGACCCCAAAGTCACCCTGGAGAGCAAGGAGCTCTGGGAGAAGTTCCACAAACTGGGCACCGAGATGGTCATCACCAAAAGTGGCAGGTGAGTCGCTACGACTTTTTTGTTTCCTTTTTGCCGCTCTTTCGCACACACGTGAATGCTTGCGTTCACTTTTCCCTTCGAGGAAGCGGGCGTGCGTTAGGTGCACTAACGATTCATTTCGTGCTGAGGTGCGATACCGAAAATCACCTGCCGGATTCCTCATCCGGCCTTTACAATGCCCGTTTTGAAACTGGGACTGGAAGAGCGAGACAGAGCGAGAGAGAAAAGGGAGCAAAAGAATTGATGAGTCACAAACTTGAAAGCGAAAACGCAACAGTTCCCGGTACACGGGTGTCCGTCCGTGACAACATCATTTCGGTAATTAGGTCTCACTTAATGAACAGATGTGTGCTGTACCGTGCCGCGCGCGCGCCTGTGCGAGCCTGTGTATGTGTGTGCGTGCGTGCCTGCTGCAAGGACGGGGCGCTGCGTGTGTGACAGAGCTCGAAGCGCTCTCTATCTCTGTCTCTCTCTCAGCGTTTATTTAGGCATTCCTTCCGACATACCGGGGCGTTGCAGTCGCCTTGAGTTGCTGGCTGACAGTCGAACGTCTGCTGCCGCTTGGTTCGAATACCGGAGCCGGTACTATATCGCGTCCCGGCTATGTGTAGTATACGGTCTCGCTCTCCGGATCAAAATGTAGAGGCGTAAGGGGGCAAGAAAGAAAAATTAAAAAAAACAAAACATTTTCTTCACCCGCGCGCGAAGCGAGGTCGGAGTGGAAAGAGGAGCTGCATGTCATTGCTGTCGCTCAAAGAGGTGTAATTAACGGCAAAAAAATAATGTCGGAAGAATAAGACAAACGGGGGGTATTGTGCGTGGGCGGGATGTGCGGCGAGAAGGGCGGGG